GCCAGTATCCCATTGGCCTTTTTGGCCACCTGGGCACACTGCTGGCTCATATCCAGCCGGTAGTGAACCAACACCCCCAGGTCCTTCTCCGCCAGGCAGCTCTCCAGCCACTCTTCCCCAAGCCTATAGCGATGCTTGGGGTTTTTATACCCCAAGTGAAGGACTCTGCACTTGGCCTTATTAAAGCTTATGGCATTGGCCTCAGCCCAACGATCCAGTCTGTTCCAATCTGCGGGCCCGGGTTGGTTTTGGTCTGATAAATGCACGTGTCCCCGGAGGTCGGCGCTTGTGATCATTGTGGAAGTTTTGGCTGCGCTGTAGATAGCTGAGCTTTTCATAGCTGAGCTGGGGATTTCCACAGTGAGCTAAGGAAAGGGAGGGAGGCAGAGGAGGAAGAAGAAGAAGAGAGGGAGCAAGAGAGGGAGGGGGGGGAGGGAGAGAGGAATGTGACTGGTCTACTGTTACCTTTGATCCCTCTGTCCAGCCTGATGCGTTTATGTACAGGGCTCAAGCACATGAGGAAAGATCTCCAGCTAATTTACATTGCTGTGCTGGTACTGATTTTGTAACACCTTCCTGATTTACGCCAGTTACAAGGTTGCTCTCCTCAGATCCACCAGTGCTGTGAACAGCTCATTTTCTCACCATGTGAAGGAGATAGGTTTTGGGAGGAGAGGTGGGATATGAGGAGATGTAAGGTGTTGAATATTTTGAATATGAACTGACTGTGGTGATCTTGACTTCTATTCATTAGGCTGTCTTGATCTCTTCTTTTTTCAGAAACACTGTCTACAATATCTGTGGCTCCAAGCAACTCTGGGGGAACAATGGAAATGTCTTTAGCTTCAGTGAATTCCAGGAGCATCCTGAGAACCTGAATGAGGAGCAAGAGACAGAAGTGGAGGCAGGGTGTGCAGGTGCTTGTTACTGAGCTGTGTGAGCTGGTCTGAGTATGATGCCTTCTAGCAGAGAATCAGACTTAGCAGGAAAAGGAGGGACAGGATGACAAGTCATCATGGGACATGAAAACTCTATCACATTTTCTCAGGTCCCTTCCTGTGTTGTTGGCACAAGACTAACTCTTTTGGCTCTGCATCTTGTCTATCTCCTACCTCTAGAACCTTCTGCAGAGGCAAAACTATCATCCATGGTGCCAGCCCATACCAGTATTTCTTTGAGGTAGAAGTTAAATTGCTCAACAGTCATAGGCTAAGCTCAGCAACCCCACTGTATGCTTGGGAAGTTACCTCTCCACAATGGTAACTTGCACTTGCTGTGTGCAAGATAGATTGGTGGGGTGCAAGGTGGGTTAACAGGCACCATAAAATATCACAGCTTTTTTTATTCTGGGGCTACCTGTGGCTAATCCGTACCGTTTGTGCTTCAGCCCTGTGGATCCCAGCAGGTCAATTTTCTTTGTCCAGTATGACAGTCTTTGCTGAGCTGTTGTGAGTCTCTCCACAGCAGGACACTGGAGTCCATAGTAGCAACCCAATTCTGTGTAAATTAACCCTACTACCCTTCAGTTAAGGAGGAGATCCCAGAGGACGGAAGGACGGAGTCCAGGCTGAACTGGGTTAGGAAAGCCAAGTGGATGAACAGTGGCTTCCCAGGCTTGCCTGAAGAACTGTCCAGGGAGAGGAACCCTATGGATAAAGTGAGTGTCCTACAGCAACGGATCCTAACACTCACAGAGGAAGTCAAGTCACAGAAGGTGAGTGTGGTGAAGAGTCTGCTGCTTCTAAGGGCAGGGCCCTGAGGCTGGTCACAGGGACTCCCTTCTACCTTGGTGTTAGGCTGGGAAATGTTTAAGCAGTCACTCACTGGGGACCAGTTGAAGCTCCTGGTGTTAACCCTTTGTATATGCCTGATTGTGCCTCCTGGGCTGTCCTTCAGCCATTGCTAGGAAGTGCAGCTAGCAGATGGGCTGGAAAAGGGAGGTAAAACAAATTCAAGTGCTCTTTGCAGGTTTCGTGCTGATGCATCTCTGTTGCTTAGTGAATGCAGGAAGTACAGTCCTGAATATGTACAGTGACACTGGAAGGAATTGCCAGGCTGAGTCATGCTTTTAACAGCAGGTCATGCTTTTTGAACAGTGATCCACTGTTAAGAGGTGATTTGCCTGTAGAAGTCAGTGCATGGGTCACTGCAAGGGCTGTCTATCCTGAATGGTACTGTGCATCTTCACAAGCATGGAGCAATGCCAGGCTCTGCACTAATGATGCTGGTAGCACTTCCAGTGGAAGAGGCAAGAGAGCCAGGTCCCGTGGTGAGCAATCAGTTGCATCCTCGATTTGCTTTGTTAAATGGCTGATGTGGCAGAGCCTGAATCAACAGCGTGTTGCTGGGCAAGCTTTTGTGCTTTCATTTGGGATGGAGTGAGGGAGGACTCTGGCAGAAGGAAGGTTGAAATGGATACAGGAGTTTCCTTCTGGTAGCACAGATAGATGCAGACTGCATTGCATTATTTCCCTCCCTCTTATTTTACCACAACGCTGAACAGATCTCCAGCTTCTCTGGTCTCTGCTGGGCCTCTCAAGAAGGATGACTGTAGAAAGTCAAAATTCAGACAGTGTGAGCAGCAGCTTGTTTGTTAGCAATTCACCTAAAGTCAAGTCATCTGTCACCTGCTGCAGACACCTTTCAGGCACAGCGCTGAGGGCAGAGCTTCTCCACTGGGGAAACACTGTGATTTCAAGATTGTTGCATTCAGTTTTGCTTCTGAAAGCAGTCAGTTTCAAGATCTTGAGGACCTTTCACTGTTCACTCATTACTGGTTGGGTCTGTGCTGTCCATGCTGCCATTGCCCTGGGAAGCACTGTGATGTAATGACTTTGCATTCCCTTTTCAGGAGCTGGTTAAACTCCTCCACAAAGCTCTGGAGGCAGCCCAGCAGGAGAAGCGAGTATCTAGCATGTATCTCACTGCAGCAGAAGATAAGGACAGGCTGGAACTGGTGCGCCACAAAGTGAGACAAATTGCAGATCTCACCAGTCGACTGGAAGCTCTTGAGCAAGAAAAGAAGGAACTGGAGCAGATACTGACTCTGAGAGACAGCCACATCCAGGAACTCAAGGAGCATGTGCAGCTTCTGATGGAGAAGAACCATGCTAAACAGGAAGTCATCATGGCCTTGACGGAGCAGATGGCCCGAGAGGTCTCTGACCCCCTGCAAGAAGCCAGCACTATCACTGCAGCGGCATTGTATAAGCAGCAAGAGGAGATTGAGCACCTGAAGGTATGTGAGAAGGCACAGGTCATTTTTTGAGAGGGTCTCATTTCTGTGCCCTCTGGTTCAGTGGGAGGGTGTTCCTTGTGGGAAGCGCAGAGTATGTTTCTTCTACTTGCTTCATCTCCAAACCAGAAGCAGGCTGAAAGGGGCTCACCTGATACCAGTTGGGCACTCAAAAGCATCTGGATCAGTTTCAGCTTCAGCTCAGAGCCTGTTTTGTTTGACTTCATGTCACCATTCAGTGCCTGCCTCTTTCTTCGCTCTTCTTTTGTTTCACAGCTGCAGTCTCACTTGCTGCCTTCACTAGCTTTGTTCCTCTGTGTTTCCCTCTTGTAAACAGTTTCCCAATACATCCTGGTTCTCTCAAATCCAGCCTGTTGTATGTCACTATATGCACAGTTATAATGACCAGTTAGTGTGGGGTGGAGAATTGCCAAAAGAGACACTTACTGCACTGTGGGAGAGTGTTTGTTTTTGCTGTCAGCCATAGGGCTGAGACTTGTGTCAGGTTTTAAAAAAATAGAACAAAACACATACATTTTTCATATTATTTAGGTGCATCTCTAGCTTTATATCACCTGGATGTCTCTGTGTTTTCTAAGTATGTACATGCATTGCACTTCCCATTTTCAAGTGTCCTGTCTGACATGACACTCGTTGTGCCTTGATTTCCTTTGTAGGCGATATTTGTCCTGGGGAGTCCTGTCTTCTCAGAACACAAAAATTTTGAGATATTTTCTTGTCCTTAACACAATCACACACTTGAAGTCCCTGAACTGCGAGGGCATTCCAAGCCCCTCAAGAACTCTCCTTGTGTGACTGTTTTGCTTTGTGGCAGGATGATATTGATGCATACAGAACCCAGAACCAGTTTCTCAACTCAGAGATCCACCAGGTTACTCGACTCTGGACAAACGTTGCTGAGAATGAAAAAGCCCTTCTGATGAAGGTAAGGCAAAATGACTTTTTTTCCTTGGTGAGAGCTGTTACTAATTTCTTTCCAAAGTCATCACTGGAATGGGTTTTGGTCCAAAACACACCAGGAATAAGCTTTCTTCCCAACATATTTTTTTAGTGTGACTTTTTTTTCTGCTTTGTGTTGTTCACAAATTAGACATGATGATTTTCATTCTTCAATAGAAGTAAAATACCTGCAAACCTGAGTCTTCAGGATGCTGAAACCTAACCCAAATTTCTGCATTTCAGCTATGTTTTTGGATACAAATAAAAAACCAACACTATGCGTAGGGAATCAGAAAATTTTCCTGAGAGCTGGCAGGCTGACTCAAGCCTGGCTCCATCTAGCCTTGTTTTCTCTACTAGGCTTGGAACTGCCAGGTGGCAGCACTCTCAGGTCCTGCAGCTAGATTGGAGTTGTTCTGTTTTCTTAAGCTGTGTTTTTATTTCTAGTTTTGTAAGGGTGCGTAACCTGATTACTCTCAGACTTGTCTAATCCTGGCTTCTGATCCTGCGCCTGTTCCCCAGGCTGGTGGTGTGTGCTGGCATTTGTTCTGTGGGTTTTCTCTGGGTTTTACTTCCCTGGGTTTAAAGGTATGTCTCCACAGTCTTAGATTCTTTAACAGGGCAAAAAGCTGCTTCTCAAGTGTTATTGCCATTCTTACATCTGTTTGCTTTCTAGCCCTTTGCAACCCTGCCTACCCCCTAACTTACTGCCCTTCTCTGATCCTGAAACTGCCATAATCTTCAGAAAGGAAGTAATCAGACCAACATGTTCAATGTGAGGCAAAATGCTGATTATAGTGGTAGTATGACGGTATCCCATGCTCCTTTTTGTCCCCTCTATATGCAGCCTAGTTCTCTCTGTCGTTTCTCTTTTTTGTTTTCAACTGCTTCTTCCCACTGAGCAGGAGTCTTCACTGAGCTTCCTGTGAGACATTGGGTGAGTCTTGTCACCTGTGTGGCCTCAGTCCCCACTTGTGGAGTGGGGATAGCTGTCTCCATTCATTTTTTCTGCTTTGTGTGCCCAGGAGTATGGTGGTGGCAGGGACTGTCCTGCTATTTGAACTCAGTTGGGCTTCTTGTGCTTGAGAAATGTTGTGTACCAATGCCATTGGACAGGGGTTGCTGAGGGGCATGTGGTCACCTTGTCTGTGGTGGTACTGTGTATCATGAAAATGGTATGGTCCTACCTCAGTCTCAGGAGTGGTGTGTTTTGTCAGTATACAGCTCAATGTGGGATAGATAACTTGTCTGAGGGGCAGGAAAAAAGCCTGCAGAGAACTCAGCTGCAGTGGTGACTCTGTTTGCGTCATGAGCGAGGGTGGCTGGGATATGGCCATCCACTGTAGCTAAAGTAGGTGATGCTGTAGTAGCATCAGTAACTGTTTATTGACTGTTGCATGCTTGCTACTGCAGTTTGTGCTTGTTCATAGATCACGGTGATTCATTCATGGCTGCAGTTACACTGACTGTAGAAAACGGCTGGATGTGTTTTCTGGGGTTTTGCTGTTCAGGAGTCTTCACTTTATGTGCAGACCAGGCCAGTAAAGAGGAGTAGCAATGCAGGAAGAACCGTCAATGAGCCAGCTCATTTGTTTTTTGTTTCCCCATCAGTGTGCCTGCCTGCAAGCACGAAACTGCCAGATGGAGAGCAAGTACCTGACAGTCTTGCGGAAGCTGCAGGAGGCTGTGCCTGGCCTGCCCAGTTCCCATGCTGAGTTGGTGAGAAACCTCATCCAGGAAGCGCTCCAGTGGAATGGGAAGGAAGGAGCAGAAGAAGGTTTTAACCTGAACCCTGTAAGGTAGGAGGCAAGAGTATGGGGGAATTCAAACCCTTGTAGGAATCTGGCTGTGGAGGGGAATGCGCAGGCAAGAAAGATCCAAGGATGTTTCTATAGCAGGGACTTGGAGCCATGACCTAGGGGTGGAGGTTGAGGAGGCTGGGATAGTTTGGTGGTTTGGACACCATGAGTATCTGATAGCAGCATATCACTGTAGTTAGAAGTTAAAAGATGGTACAGCTAAACTTTTCTTGGCAGTGACAGACAGTATGGCAAATGACAACAGCCGTGATGTGCCTGGGAGGTACTGGACATGAGGATAAACTCCTTCTGTAGGAGAGGAGGCCACCTGGGAGGTGAGGGATCTCCATTCTTTGGGCTGGGTTTTCTAGTCCCAGCCATACAAAGCCACCATTGCTGTGTTCTATTGCTGGGAGCAACCATGTAGTGAAGAGGGGCTGAACTGGAGACCTCCAGAGAGCCTTGCCACCAGCGCTGCTGAGGTCTTTGCATTTGTGTTTATGCTTTCCTGCCCAGTTAGTGCCTCAGTTCTGTAGTAATTTCCATTTCATCTGTTTAGTCAGACTCGCAGGTTCTCCAAGTAGCTTTGGAGATGAGACTGGAGAGCTTGATCTCTCTGTCAAGAATATAATGATAACTTACAAGTATCCCAACCTGTGGACTGATGATGCAGAAACCCTGAACAAGCTCCAGATATTTTCCGATCAGTACGAGATTTGCATTGTGTACAGGGAGACAACAGAAGAGACTGTGGATCTCTGTTCTTTGGTCTGGTGCTCCAAAGCCTTTGCAGTCCCTTCCTACACAGCTGTCTCTGCATTTGACCATGGCAGGGAGGAGGTACACAGGTTGAGCTAGATATTTCCTTAGGGGCAGGGGAGCAGGCGAGGTGAGAGAGGTCTGATGAGGTTGGGCTGTAGCTCAGAGCAAAGTTACTCTTTAGGTTGTATGTGTGTGCCATTGCCACAGGCTCTTATTTATCTTCAAGGCTCTAAGACAGTGGGCATGGCAGACTCTCACATGCAGCTGCCAGAGAAGTGAAGGAGGAGTATGCGTGCTCCACCATGGGTGACAGGAATCCAGCAGCAGGCTGTAATTGGCATAACCCCAAGCACTGAGAGACCCTTGATGCAGGTATTAGCACTGTCCTTTGAACTAACCTCTGCCTTGTGTCCCTCCAGTGAGTTTGATGAGTATGGGTTTATGACTGTACCAGAGTATGAAGTTGAGGACTGGAAACTTCTGGCCAAAATCCAAGCCCTGGAAATAAAGTCCAACAACTTACGGAGCCAGGAAGTAGTGGAGAAGCCCCTTCGTGACAGGTGGAAGAGTGTTGGAGAGCTGAGCCCCTCTGCGGAGCTGAAGAGCCTGATCCGAAGTGGCATTCCAGTGGAGCATCGGCAACGGGTCTGGAGGTGGATTGTCAGCCAGCACTGCAGCCGTCTGCCTGACCACTACCAGCGGCTGTTACGGCAGAGCAAGAGCACCGAGCACCCTGCCTGCCGGCAGATTGAGCTTGACCTGCCCCGCACACTAACCAACAACAAACATTTTTCCTCTCCCACCTCCCAGCTCATCCCCAAGCTCCGGAGGGTGTTGCTGGCATTCTCCTGGCACAATCCTGCCATTGGGTACTGCCAGGGACTGAACAGGTGAGAAGCCAGGCATGCTGCTTCTTCATGGGATAGTACTGAGAAGGTGTAGATGCATCATCTAGGCTGTGATTCAAGCAACCCCAGGCTCCTACCTCCCTATAGTACTGTTCTGGCTCCAGGTATTTTCCTGCAGAATTCTGCATTTGGATGTCTTTTTTTCATCTAGTGTGGTTAGTGGGATGAAGCAAGCAGCAAGATTCGGCAACTATTCAGCATCTCCATAGTTACAGAATAGAAAGGAGCAGCTGTAGGAGGTAAAGTGAGGCAGTCCCAGAATAACAGTGTGAGGTTGGGGCTGAATTTCTAAGTCTTAACGTGCTCAGCAGAAGAACACCCTAGTGATTCCTCTTTTTGCTGAAAAGAGTTGGAGGAAATTTTGGGAAGTGTTAGAGATGGGAGAGTTGCAGCAAATTACATGAGGAGAGGCTAAGGAAACTGGAATTATTTTGGAGAAGAGAAGGTTCAGGTAATCTAAAAGCTTCTTTTGCTTCCCGAAGAAGGCTGTCGGAAAGATAAAACTAGACTTCTTAGAAGTGTGCCACCACGTAAAAGTGGCACGGGGCACTAACTGCAAGAAAGGAAATTCTGGTTGGACCTTTTCACATGAGGAAAGTCTGTGTAAGCTACTCCTGTTGGTTTTGGGTGTTCTTCAGAAAGACATTTTTCACTGTAGAGAGATCTTCATATTAGGTATCATCTTTCAGTCTGGCTGAAAGGATGTAAGTCAGAGCTGAAGCAGGTAAGGGCTGTGGAAGAATGTATGGGAAGGTGAACTATGTGACACAATATGCAGTATCTCTGAATGAGCTCTTTCTTGTATTGAAATAGCCAAAATCAGCACACTGCTAGCTTCAGCAGGTCTACAGAACATTCCATTAGCTGGGGAGTCTGGCTTTATCACACCAGTTCTGTATTTGATGCTTCCTGTTTGCTGACAGAGGCACATGGGAAAGAAAATCACAGCCCCGTAGTTCCTTCAGAAACCCGCAGAACAGATCACTTGCCTCTCTGACCAACTGTCCTGCCACGTTTGATGTTTTGGATGCCCATGGAGCTAGAGGCATGCCAAGAAGAATCTTGGATTCTCCAGTTCCTGTGCTGGCCTGTGTCTCCTCCTGCAGTGTTGCGTTGCCTCACCATGTCTTGTCCATCACAGATTGGCAGCTGTTGCCCTCCTGGTCCTGGAAGACGAAGAAAGTGCTTTCTGGTGCCTAGTCCATATTGTGGAGAACCTAATGCCAGCAGACTACTACAGTGACACACTGATAACATCGCAGGTAAGCTGAGCACTCACACATATGCTTGAACTCTGATACAGTGATTTAGAGTAAAGGTTTAAAAGTAAGCAGTCAACTTGCAGCATGTTTGATTTATCACAGGACAGTGATACCACCTTGCAATCCCTTCCATTGCAGAGATGTTGTAGACTTGAGAGTACAAAGTTGTTACACCCACAGGAGCAGCAAAATTGATCCCCAGCACTAGGAAATTGGGCACCACTTGTGAGTAATCACTTCAAGGTCAGGTTAGTCAGAAGGAAGGTGCCTATTAATTGCACAGTTACTTATTTTAAGGAGGGCCTGGTAGAGGCCTCTGACATGAGCATACTCTGACATGTGTAGAACCAAGTACAATGAAGGCACCATTCTGCAGCCTTTCAGATGTTTCTTTGGGAACTGTGCCTTGTCTTTGGAGTGCTATGTGCAGATGGAAGAAAATACTGAGTTTTTTATATTCATTGTACTTACCTCAGTTCATGATCAAATACAGTGTTTGGTCTGGCTTTGGCGTTCTGTTGTTCTGTGAGTAACTTGCCCTCCTGGTTCAAAGTCACCAGAGTTCAAGGTTTTCAAGGTGTGTTGTCTTGTATCAGGTATGCTGTGTCCTCCCAGGCAGACACAGAGCCCAGATAAATCCCATATAGTTTAATGAAATTGCAACTATGTGCCCACAGCACCCACACCCAGCAGTGTCCAGTCTCGTGAGCCTGGCCATGACCTTGGTGTCTTTACTGTGTGTGGTCCTTTCAAGAGAGAACAGGGTTGTATCTGTGGGCCCACAATAGCTGAGGCTACAAGTGTCAGTATCTGAGAGTTGCCAATTGTACCACTGAATTGATTGACTAATTTTTACAGGGACAGTGGTGTACTGGTGGAGAGGCCAACCCACAGACTGGGGGAGCAGCCAAATCACTGTGCAGATAGCAAAATGTCTATCTGGAGCAGGTATTGTTAGCTGTGAGATTCAATAGGCAGTGCTCGATACTTGACAAGTAGTGATTGACAGGGCAAACATGGCAGACTCAAAACAGAAGCTCTTCTGCATTTGGTGAGAAAAGACTGTCAGCTGAGGGACCCTTTTTTAGATTTCTTGACCTCATGGTTGGTCTCTGAAAGTCTAGTCAAACCCATGTGAAGGGGAAGGTCTAGAGTGATGCTTTGTGGGTTGGCTTGATAAAATGAAAGCTCTGAGGTGGCTGGAAAACTTAAGGTTTAGCTCTTGCAGATTTTGAAGACCAAGCATATCACCTCGTCTGGTTTGTACCACTGTGCCACAGCTAAGTAGGCTGACACAGCTAGGGCAGTAGTATGATATGGCATAGGGAAATACTTAACCAATGATCTTGCTCCTTAGCACTTCCCCTCATGAAACCACGTCTTCCCTGAGGTGAAGCCTTTATAAACCTGAGTTAACAATCTCACCAACTGCCTTTCTCATGTCTTGGCTCATGCAACCAGCAGCAGAGCACGGAGTACTTAGTCTACAAAGAGAAGCTAAGTGAGAAGACCAGGTCCTGCTTGCGAAGTCAGAGGGATTCTAGGTGTTTGTTCTGTTGGGCCATGTGCGGTCATTCAGACCTGGGCAGGTTTTAATCCTCAGCATTCAATTGGATGTTCATGTCATCACAGAAAATCTCAAAAAGCCCAATGTGGGAAGATGTGGCAGCATTTTCCCTCTTTGCTTTGAGGTTGGGAGGGAATATGATCATCTGAGTGAGAAGAATATATATATCTCTGCTTATATCTTGGCCTTGTTTCAACTCCACAGCTTGCACCCGGTATAGCATAGAAGTACACTGCTCAGTAATTTTGAAGGATTGGGAGACAAAGGATGTTCTCTTCCTAGAGTGTGGTTAGGCTAGAAAGCAGGAGCAGTGATTACCATGGCATGCGTGGGCCACTGTCCTGTTGCATTGCTGCTCTCCTCCAGCACCAGGACTGCTCTTGATTAGGACTTTATTGTTTTCTTTTTTGGTCAACTTTAGGTAGATCAGAGAGTCTTCAAAGACTTCCTGTCAGAGAAGCTGCCTCGCCTCATGGCTCATTTTGAGCAGTATCGGATTGATGTCTCGCTCATCACCTTCAATTGGTTTCTGGTGGCCTTTGTGGACAGCCTGGTCAGCGACATCCTCCTGCGAGTGTGGGATGCCTTCCTGTACGAGGGAACTAAGGTGCAACTCTCAGTCTAGGCCTTCCTCCCATCTGCACTGCCTCTGTGACGTGATGGCAGGGCAATGGACATACATGTGTCAGAGATGTGGGGCTGAGCCTCTTGTCCTGTCTTGCCTGTTTGGTGGGGTGCCTCGATGCGTCCCAGACTCTGTGTGTCTGAGTACTTGCTGCTGGTAGGAAGACCTAGTTCCTCATACTGTGCACAGTATCCCTGGCACTTTTTAGCAGGCAGTCCTGCCATGAAACAGCTCTCTAATAGCCCATGGTGTCCTCTGCTCTGTGACCTGGACACAACTGGGTATGACAGATACAGGGAGCAGAAGATGGGCAGAGAGTACTTCTGAAAACGTGAGTCTTGCATTGGCCCTGTGCTTAGGGAGAACTGGAGAACTCTTACGAAATCCCTGCAGGGTCATTTTGGAGTACCTGGTATGCTCTGAGGTTGTAAATTGGCTTACAGAGGGTCATTCTCTTGGGATTAGCTCCATGCTTCTTTAGGCCTGCCCTAACGCAGCCTGTTGAGAGCAGGAGAAGCCTAGTGTCCAGCCTGTACTGCAGTGCTGTGTGCCTCACCCCATGTTTTACACCAGGAGGGCCTGGTCCTTCAACTGCCTAAAAGTTTGTCAACTCAAATACCTTTCAACCCTCCAGGTGATTTTCCGCTATGCTCTTGCAATTTTTAAATACAATGAGGAGGAAATCCTAAGAATTCATGACAGTGTGGAGATCTACCAGTACCTACGCTTTTTCACGAGGATGATCACGGATGGCAGGTAGGACTATGCGTTTTAGACAACTTCCTATCTGGGTTAGTACTTGCTTGCCTGTAGGTCAGCCTAAAAAGAGTTGTGACCAGTCTGCTAAGAGTGATGCATGCGCATTGGCAGGTCCATGGGACGTGGATCAGTTTGTTTCTTTTTGACTTTCCCTTCATGGTGTTACTTAAAGTCTCTTTGGCTCGAGCAAAGGCATGCCATAGCAGAGCAGGCCACAGGGTCTGGACCAGACTCCTTTTTGCAGCCGCTGGAACTTGTGTTGCCACTTGCTGGGTTTCTCTCAGCTGTAGTTGGGCTATTTGGGAACACAGCACCACTCACAACCTTTAATGGCAACATGTGTCTGAGAGGAAGATTTCTGTGATCAGAAGAGCTCAGTGTTGGGAATGTTCCTCCCCCAGAGGCCATCAGAATTGGCATCTGATCCACTGTCTCCTGACTGGTGGCTGCACACTGGGGCCTTAAAAGGTGGTGTGGTGTAAGGCTGTTTAAAACATTGCTTGAGTTGGTGTTTGTGTGAGGAGGAGTTGCCTGTGATTCCTTTAAGACTTTGCTGCTTGGTGACTTTTGAGCTCAGAGAGCTGGAATCTGAGGCCTTACTCTTTGCCTGCCCCAGGATGCACTTGGCATATCTGTTACCATCAGTTACCAGTCAGTAAATTGGTTCAGCTGCCCTGTCTTTTCCATTGTAGGAAGCTGATGAACATTGCCTTCAATGACTTGAACCCCTTTCCCATGAAACTGCTGAGGAACCGGCGGACGATGCACAGAGAAGAGCTGGAGGCAGAACTGTGTGAGCTGGAGCAGATCAAGGCAGCCTATGTAAAAGAGAGAGCAGAGCAGGGGCCTCAGGACCTGAAGGAGGTTGTTAGTGAAGAGGAAGAAGAGATTTGACAAAACCAGAGTTCCTCATCACTTCCCTTCCACCTTGCAGAGGGTCTTCAGTAGTAACTGTCTGTAAGAGATGGAGCAGAGGAGGAAGGGTGGTCACAGCAGGAGTTTGTCTGCCCAAGGAAGCAAGGCTGTAGGGGACCAAGCCAGACTTTGTAATGGAGTGGAAGGTGTCAAAGGAGTTTTATCCTCTTCTGTATTTCTCTCCCTTCAGCCCACCCCGTGCTATACAGTTCAGGATTACAGATGAAGGTCCGTAGGAAATATCAGTTGTAGTACCATGACAGAGGTTGACATGGTGCAAAAGACCCAGCCAGGAAGGGCTTTTCTACCTTTTCTGATGGAGACTTGAAAGAGTTCTTTTATGTACAAATAAAATCACTGCAAATAATGAACTGAGAGCATCCCTCTTTGGTACCTAAAGCTTCTGAATTTGTTAGGAAGGAAACCTGCTCTTTGAAGGCATGGTGCCTTCAGTGGCTAGCGTGCCAGGAGAGCGTGTGTTTAACATTGCAGTTACTGAGTCATGACACTGTGTCCAGGTGAGTGCTGGTCCTGGGCAAGTCCTGGGAGCTGGCGGACATCTTTCCGTGGCACTCAGGTTGGGACAAGTGAAATGGGCTGTGAGAGAGCCGAATTGGCTCTCCAGTTTATTTTGGTTCCTGTGGAAGTCCATGGGAGCACAAGGTGTGTCTCCCTGCCTGGCTGGGAAATGCTAGGAGCTACCTCTCTTTGTTTATCTTTGAGCAGAGCCATCTGTGGGTTGGCCTGACCCTGGTAGCACTGTGCATTCCAGAGGTGAATTTGCTCCGTAGAAGAGCTCTCTTCTCAGTGTGAGAAAACAGCTGCAGCCTGGCTGCGGGCAGGGCCTAATATTATGGAGACTTTGACTGCTGGGGAATTCTGGGTCTTCTGATTGCCTCACACTTGGCCAGGATGAGTGTGTGGCTGTCTCTCTCTGCCTCACAGAGAGCCTCCACCGTTGCCAGGTTTCTATGTTGATATCCCTATCTCTGACTCCCATTTAAAATGGGAGGGAGGAGGTCTTTTCTGTAGGAGTTTCCATTATTGAAGGTGTTTGAGCCATGGAATATGACACTCTGGGGTGAACCTGCAAACAACTTGGACTCAGTGACAAAAGATCATAGAATGATGGAATGGTTAGGGTTGAAAGGGACCTCAAAGATCATCTAGTTCCAGACCCTCCACTACACCAGGTTGCTCAAAGCCTCGTCCAACCTGGGCTTGAACACTTCCAGGGATGGGGCATCTACAACTTCTCTGGGCAACCTGTTCCAGTGCCTCACCACGCTCAGAGTAAAGAATTTCTTCCTTATATCTAATCTAAATCTCCCCTCTTTCAGTTTAAAGCCATTGCCCCTTGTCCTATCACTACAAGCCCTTGTAAAATGTCCCTCCCCAGCTTTCCTGTAGGCCCCCTTTAAGTACTGGAAAGCTGCTATAAGATCACCCCGGAGCCTTCTCTTCTCCAGGCTGAACAGCCCCAACTCTCTCAGCCTGTCTTCATAGCAGAGGTGCTCCAGCCCTCGGATCATCTTTGTGGCCCTCCTCTGGACTTGCTCCAGCAGCTCCATGTCCTTCTTGTGTTGGGGACTCCAGAGCTGAACACAGTATTCCAGGTGGGGTCTCACGAGAGCAGAGTAGAGGAGCAGAATCGCCTCCCTTGACCTGCTGGTCGTATGGATTCTTTTGATGCAGCCCAGGATACGGTTGGCTTTCTGCGCTGCCAGTGCACATTGCCGGCTCATGTTGAGCTTCTCATCCACCAGCACTCTCAAGTCCTTTTCCTCAGGGCTGCTCTCAATCCATTCTCCGCACAGCCTGTACTTGTGCTTGGGATTGCCCCGACCCATGTGCAGGACCTTGCACTTGGCCTTGTTGAACTTCATGAGGTTCTCACAGGCCCACCTCTGAGATAGCTTGATTTTCTTCTGAAAAAAACAGTAATTTCCCCTGAACCGAGGATCTGGCCTCCATGGGCCAGCGCACAGAGATGTCCTGCCTACCTCTGGCGATGAAGCCTGATAGCTTTCTCCTCTGCCTTCCAGGACTGATGCCCTGCCTGTGCAGCTCAGTCCTCCACAGACCCAGGATAAGTCAAGTGCTTCAGATAAATACAGCTTGTTTTCCCTAACATGGTGCTAGATCCTGCTGCCCCACTTTTTTTTTGAGCGGTGCTTTATTCCAGGTGAGCCTGCAGTGCTGGCACTGACAGCGTGCAGCAGACCCTGCTGGAAGGGTGGATTCTGCCCTATGTTTTTAGACTGACCTGGAACACAAGCCCATGCAGTGGCTGATACCTCCTTTAAACCTCTTGGGATAAAGCCATCAGTGCTTACAGAGGAAGGGAAAAGGAGCATTCATAGCCTGTGCTCTTCTCAGCCACGTGGGCCGTAGCCAAGATCACAGGCCCTAGTGAAAACAGTACCAGCCTCTGTTCACGTGAGGCACATGGTCTGCCTCAGCTCTGCCTTAGGCACAACTGGACACATCTGCCAGTTTCAAAGAATTACACAAGTCTGAGCTGGGAGAGAGCTGTGGAGGCCAACCACACAGTATGGAAGTAATCAAAGTGGAAACGAGGTTTTGTGAAAAGTGGGTAGATGGGCAAGAATGAGACAGATCCCCTGCATGTCACTGATTGCTGCACACACTGAGAAAGTGCAGGATGAGAAGAAAACATAGCTGGAGTCTTAACCACAATATCTCAAATAAATGCACTGGTTTTAAAATGATGCCACCTAGCTAGAGAAGCCCAAAAGGCAGAAGGTTTTTCTTTACAGATGATATTGCTAATATAATTTATTCATACCATTATGTGCATGGATGAACAAATACAGATTTTTTGCTACGGACTTCTGAAAGGCATTGTCTTTTAATCAAGATCATGGAAATTAGAAGATACTTACAATTGTATTTTTCCTAGACCCTTTTGCAACAGCTTAAAAATCTTTTCTTCCATCTTCTCTTATGTTTTTTAAAAAAGGCATTTGAAAGATTATTAGTAGACCAAACTATAGCCTGACGTAAGTATATAAACGAACATTGGTCTGTGTGGTATACAATGACCTGTTAAAAAATAAACTTTTCTGAAGAAGACATAATGACCAAGCTGTTGTCCCTGATGGGAAATTCTGAAAATGGCTTTTTAATTGAAATCAGATGGGAAGGACATCTCAGGGCTGTTAGAAGTTTCTCTTAGAATCATAGAATCATAGAATGGTTAGGGTTGGAAGGGACCTTAAAGATGATCTAGTTCCAACCCCCCTGCCATGGGCAGGGAAACCCTCCACTACACCAGGTTGCCCAAAGCCTCATCCAACCTGGCCTTGAACACTTCCAGGAATGGGGCATCTACAACTTCTCTGGGCAACCTGTTCCAGTGCCTCAGCACCCTCAGAGTGAAGAATTTCTTCCTTATATCTAATCTAAATCTGCCCTCTTTCAGTTTAAAGCCATTGCCCCTTGTCCTATCACTACATGCCCTTGTAAAATGTCCCTCTCCAGCTTTCCTGTAGGCCCCCTTTAAGTACTGGAAGGCTGCAATAAGATCACCCCAGAGCCTTCTCTTCTCCAGGCTGAACAGCCTCAACTCTCTCAGCCTGTCTTCACAGGAAGGGTGCTCCAGCCCTTGGATCATCTTTGTGGCCCTCCTCTGGACCCGCTTCAGCAGCTCCATGTCCTTCTTGTGTTGGAGACTCCAGAGCTGAATGTTCTGTCTTCACCAGCTCTTGGTTTTGCATCATGTGTGCATTTACTGAGGACCGTTTCGTGTGGTCGTGCCACCACCCAGTCACCTGTAGTCTTTCTTTACTAAAATGTGGTGGATGCAGGAACCTGCACCCTGGAGCCAAGCTAGCATGTCCTCATGGGCCCTTCTCCCATTCTGCTCCACAAACTTTAGGGCTACTGAAAACACTAAACTCGTGTCACAAGATGGCAGCTGGGCCCAGAGGTTATTTTAGCCCTACACCAAGTCCCTTGGGCCTCTGCAAGACCTGCAGTGAGTATCAGTCAGTGCCGGGGGTGTTTCGAACAGAGGTTACCCCTTCATGAATTGCCCAAGGATAATTTGTCCTGCCACGGTTCACTGCTGTGGTTGGAAAACAGTTTGACCTGGTTGCACAGACCAGTAGCTCCCTCTGCCTGTGCTGGTGCCCCGTGGATAAAAAGGATGTCTTTCCACCCCAGAGTCAGCCTTTGTTGAGCTTTGCTGTACGCATAACACTACTTGCTAAATTAAGCCTTCTGTCCTAAAAAGGATGGTTTAGATTTTCTTTTTCCCCTCAAGAATGTGCAATTAATCTGTAGATCACCTTGTTGCAGGACTTTGGGCCCACCAAGAGTTTTTATGGTTCTGAGAGGACAAATTGGCGGAGGGTGACTAAACACACAGAAAGCCACTGCTGGCTCAGTAAGTCCCTGAGCTGCAAACAGATAAGAGGCTGAGAGGTTTCTATTCTTCAGCCCTTTTTGGCCCTTGGTGGCATTGGGCTGGAAGGATCTTTGGTCTGAACCACCATTATCCTTATAGGCTACAGCTAAGCCCTCACATGCACAAGTGCTAGTGCACAGCAAAGACACTTGATCCATTCCTTTATCCTGACATGCTGCCCCGGAAAGAGGCATTACTGGGAAGGTGGTTTCTATATCGGGTTAATATTTATCCCAAGATTGAGCTTCTCATCCAGGGTGAAGGAGAGAGCTAAGGGATAAGGCTTTCCACATGAGAGGGAAGCAACAACACCCTGTAGCAGGAGCTGTCTCACAGTCCTGAGTTTCTCCTCCAGCTTGCAGGCTGAGCAACCTGGGGCTGGCTCTCGTCTTGTTTAAGAGCTCTCTTCAGTGGCCTAAGCCAAAGCTGGGACTTCTCCAGCATTTCTCAGTGCTAAGAGCTCCTCTATAGAACATTAGCTCTGTCTGGCCTTGGGATGTGCCAGGTTCAAGAAGACAAACTGCTTTCCCACGCCAATGCCGTAGTGGTGGAGCTGACATAATTTAATGCCCTCCGAGGTAATTTAACCCCTTTCCTGGAGTTCAGTGAGAGGCTGCGGGCTGCACCAAGATGCTGAATCCTGAGAATACTCCTGTGTGCTTCCTGCTCAGCCTCAAGGGCTCTCCAGAGCAGAAAATGGCACACCAGGTTA